CCGTCGACGTACGAGTCCTTGGGGTCTTCGTTCGTGAATTCGGGTTCGAAGTTGGTGGTGTCTAGGGCATCGGTCTGTTGGGCACGGGGGTGGTTAGCCGGGCTGGACGACGGGGGGGAAGGCAACTGGCAAGGTGGTGAAGGTGGGGCGAGGGAAGAGAGGATGGGAAGGGAGAGAGGGAAGGCGTGGTAAGGAAAGACCGATAGAAGCAAAATAAAAAAAAAAAATGACGAGGAGACTCACCACGTTGGGTTTGAAGGCGGGCTCATATTTCCGCTGCAACAACTTCCTCCAATCTATGGCGTGGAAGAACGGGTGCGCCTTGATCTCCGCCGACCCGTTCGCCCCCAGCCGCTCGCTCGGATTCCTGTTCAGTAACCTCGTGAGCAGGTCCTTAGCCGCCGACGGTACGTCGTTGGGGAAGTGTAGCGGCTCCTGCAGGATCTTCCTGTACATCTCGTTGGTGTTCTCGTCGTAGAAGGGAGGCAGACCCATCAGCATCTCGTACAGCAGGACGCCCAGCGTCCACCAGTCCACCACCTTCTGGTAGCCCTGCCCCATGAGGAGCTCGGGAGCCAAGTACTCGGGCGTCCCGCAGAAGGTGTTCGTGCGGTCCTCGTCCTTCATGTCCAACTTGCAGAGCCCGAAGTCGCATAGGGCAATATGGCCCTGGTAGTCGATGAGGATGTTCTCCGGCTTCAGATCCCTGTAGATGACGTTGAACCCGTGGAGGCACTCGAGCGCGCAGAGGAGCTCGGCCGTGTAGAACCGCGCGCGGTTGACGTCGAAGCGGCGCTCCTTTTGTAGGTGGTGGAAGAGCTCGCCGCCGTTGACGAAGGCAAGGACGAAGTAGAGCTTCTCGGGGGACTGGAAGGAGAACTTGAGGGGCACGATGAAGGGGTTGTTGATCTGCGCGAGAACGGAGCGCTCTGCGAGGGTATGGGCCACCTCGGAGCGCGAGATGATGTGGGCCTTGCGGATGGTCTTCAGGGCGTAGATACGGTGCGTGTCCTTCTTCCGCACCTGCATGACCTTGCCGAAGCTGCCCTTCCCCACGACCTTGAGGAGCTCGAAGTCGTCAATCTTTAGCTTGCCCGCCCGGATCTCGACATACTCGACGCCGATCTTCAGTCTGCCCGTACCATACTGCACGTCGACCCACTCCACGCCGCTGTGGCCGAGCGACTTGTCGGCGGCCGTCTTATCGCGATCCTTATCCTTCTTGCCAGCCTTCTGGTCGTCCGCGATGTGGGAGCGTTCCTCGAACCGCGGGTTGATGCGCACCACGCCGAGGAAGATGTCCTGACTCCGGCCGGAGCCTGGGGGCGCCATCGGGTTGCGCATGTAGAGGTGGCAGGCGAGCTCCGTCACTCTTGACACATCGAACTTGTATTGGGTGTTACCACCCGCCCACAGCGGGTTCTCGGGGGTACCGTCAACCGAGTTGACGAAGACCTGGAGCTTATCGAAGTCCAGCAGCACGTAGGGCATGTACTTGCCCGAGATGCGGCCGTGGTTCGTCGGGATCGCCGTGAAGCCGCCGCCGGAGGTTTGGGGGCGGTCTCTCCCGTTGCCGACGTAGGACCCCGAGGAGGACGTCGGCCGGACGGAGCCGGCTAGGACGTTTCCGCTCGAGAGGGAGTTTTGCGTATGAGACGAGGCGAAGACATTGCGGTGCTGCTCGGGGAGGGAGAAGCCCTGACCCTCGTGGATGGTGACGACGAGGATGCCCGGCTTGGGGGGCTTGACGACGGGTGCTTGGGACATGGATTCAGGGGCTGCAAGAGAGATTGGGGTTGTCAGTAAAAATGACTGAGCACGGGGAGAGGAGGGAAGGGAGCGGGAGTATGGAGTATGGAGGGGTGGCGTGGGCGAAACATACGAATCGTGCTCTCGCCGGGAGGTAGGACGGGATCGGGAACTGGTTGCTCTTTGTCGTCCTTGCCCGTTATCGTGGGTGTTGAGGGGGATCGGGAGAATGTGCTGGCGAGCGGACCCAGGTGGGTTTCCTTAAACTCTGGACGAATGGTTAGCAAGATCTCGGTGGAGAGTGCCAGTCCGCGGCTCCCGGACTCAGGGTGTATGGTGGGAACCAAACTTGTTGCGGGGTGGGGGGGAGGGTGATCAAAGCAAGGGTAGGGTAGCGGAGGGGAGGCAAGAGGGCCGCGTACGTACTCTTGGTAAGTTTCCAAGACATGGTTGCGTCTGGTATGGGTATCCTGGATCCTGGGGTATATGTATGGGATGTACGGGTAAGACGGGGGAAGAGCGGTCTGGTTGGATAGTTGGATAGGGGGCAGGCAGGCAAGACCGAGGCCGTCGATGGCCGTCGGTGATTCCGAAAAGGGGTGGGCCACGAGTCTTCGCGGCGATGCAGGTAAAAAAAAAACAAAGGCGATAAAAGGAGCAGTCGCTAATGGGGGTATTTCGAATGCAGGGTGGTGATCGATGATGATCTTCTTGGAGGGGGGGAAGGAAGATGAGTAAATTGAAGGGACGACGGAGGCGGAGTTGGATACAACAAGATGCCACAGAGACAGGACAGGATCCTTGGCCGCTAGTTGTGCTTGTGCGGCGGGGGTCTGTGACGGAATTCCCGAAGGTTGGTGGTTTGTGGAGGTGTCGAAGTGAGGAGGTGGTTGCCCCGCAGAAAGTCTGGCAGGGGTAGAACCGGTGGTTGGGGGCGACCGGGCCGGGTTGGTCAGCGTTGGGCTTTGGCCTTGGCTTTGGACGAGTGCACTACTTTAGTACCTGTATCACTATTACTTAGCAGCGCAGGTGCCAAAATCGGTTGCGAACGACGCGAGAGAAGGGAGAGAATGAGCCGTGCCACAGGCCACGGGCCAAAGAAGAAGAGGGAAACACACGCCTTGACCAAATAAAAGCCAGATGGCGATGGCAAGGATTCTCGTGCCTCGGGGAAATCCTGGGAAAGGGGGGGGGGAGTTCGGCGCCCAGGAAAGTTCGATTAACTCAGGGGAGTGGCTGACGGAGACGGCGGCGAATGATCCCCTGTTTCCAGTTCTGGATCGTGCAAATGGAGGGAGGCTTGACGGATGGTGGAGCGGGGCACGAAGACGGAAATAGTGGGGGTGGACAAAGTACTCGTACTCCATACGTTGCCACAGACGAGTGTGTGTACGAGTATGAATACATGTACGAACGAACGAACAAGTATGAGGCGAGGAATAATAATACGGTACATGACTTAATTCAACTCTAGAAATATTCGGCACAGTAAGGTAATATTAACGGATAACAGGCCGGACCTCACTTTCCCATGTTCCAGAAATCGACAAGGTGGGATTGGGTCGATCTTTTGCCTCTCGGATCGATATATTTTATTTTGTTCACCTATCCCTCCGTCTCAATGGTTACCGCGGGGCGGGCGGCCGTTCGTTGTCCGCTTGCTTATCAGGTAGGGTCGCGGGGTAAAGCCCTCCTCAACATTGCGTTGTCTCTTTTTCACCTTACCGGCGCCCGAGGGCCACTACGAGTACTTGTATGAGTAGAAGTAGATGCGGGGTACAGCTACCATTCTGATGCTGTCGGCATACAATCCACGGCTCAGTCAGGATGGAATGGAAGTCACTCGATGCCTTGGAAATGGCAGCCGACCAACCGTATTACGTCAAAAAGAATCCATTGTCTCAAAATAATATTAATGCAACCGCTATAAGTACTCGTCCGTCAGGTCTGGCATAGCCTCGACACCCTCGGGCTGTGCAGTGCGTTTGTCTCTCCAATCCATGAGAGCCAGCCAGCCACTAGAGCTTGTACTCGTAATACCATACGAGTACATGAAACCCCGTTAGCTTCGGACAATGAGGGAATGAAGCCGACATCGAGGGCGCTAGAGCCCGCCTGTGGCGCCAACCGCCCGCTATCTACCTACCTGTATCAGCCAAAGGCGGCCGAAGGACGTATTGCAAGTACGGTCCTAGCCCAGTACGCTGCTCTAATTATTCGTACCGTGATCTCCTTCGCCGGCCCGTTTCAGTAAAGCCAAGGGTGGCACCACGGTGCTTGCTTGCGTGTTCACTGCCGGATGGAGCTTTATTAGCAACTTGTCGCGTTCATCCGTGGCATGGTTCGCATCATATGCTTTGTGGATGACTATCTTTTCAAACTTCTATGTTTACATCCGATCCTCATATCCAAGCCAGGCGGGCTTTATGAGAGACCCTCGCATCCCATACCCGATTCCAAAATGATATCACCATGCCCTGCGCCCCACCGTTTTCCCGTTGCCCCCTTTGGCTGGGGCAAAGCAGTTCCGTTCAGCGAGCCGCCTGGATCGGGCCCCTGCATTATTATACGGGTCATCAGTTGAAGTTGCGCACAGACATCTGCCCGTTCAAGTAAGGACGGATGGCTGAGGCATTCAGCTTTGTTGAAGGACGGGAGGGCAGACAGCCGCAAAATACTGGCTGAGATCAATCGATACGAGAGATGCCTCGTATCCATGTGCGCCCAGAGCTGCATGTCATCCATTTAGCCGACGCCGGGAATACCGCACACTTGGGTACGTGGATGAGTTTGACTCGTGCTGCCGAGAGTGCTTGGGCTGCTAAAGATAGAACACGGGGCGTTTTGCTGTCCAGGTAACCGCTCAGAGTGAGTGGGGGAGCCTCAGCATTTAAGGGGAAGTGGAAGTGAAGATGTGGTTTAAATCGTCTTTTATTGACGCCATCTATGAGTATATCCAACTTTCACCATCTACTTCAGCTGCCGAAAAGAGGTGTGGGTGGGACCTAGGAATGTGGTCGTGTATGGAGGCGCCACAGAATCGGTAGGATGGGGGTGGTACTGGAATTCGTCCTATAGCGGAGGAAGGAGCATATTTGTAAAGGATCAGACGGCAAACTATAGATCTGGAGCCTCGATTAAAATTAGGAACCAAGTCATGAATGGAGGAGGGGGAATCTGGGGACGGCGCAAAAAAGAGCGAGCGTTGGAGGGGCAGCATATCCCGGCCCAACTCGGGCAAAAATAAAAGTCGACAATGACAGGATTCGAACCTGTGCGTCCGAAGACATCAGCTCAGCTCGATAATTCGAGGCTGACCCATTAACCACTCTGGCACATTGCCTTGGGTGTACTGCCTATCCATTGCGGATATGAACTCAGTGGTTAAGCGCCATGCCCCACCTCCCAAACAGGGTCGAACCGCCACCTTCGTTGTCATGGTCAAGCAGACAGGACATAACTTTGTCAAATCGACCAAGGGAAATTGGCTCGTCGTTGATATGGTGTTGATATTGACTTCATCTGTTCTATTATGGACGAAAATGAAGGTGTAACATACCCGCCGCATGTTCAAGAAAGGGGGGCCCTGCCCTTTTGCACCCACTTGTTTCGTCGTTCCCAAAGCGGCGTCTTCCCCCGGTGCCGGCGAGCCGATTTTACGTTGGCGCGCTCAGCTGTGGTTCACTCGGCCGATTCTTGGCCGTCTCACATCCCCGAGGCCCCCGTTTGACATGCACTTGACACCCGAGAAGGTTGCAGCAGGGGTTAAGGGGTGGTATTCACGTCGCCAGACGTCGCGCTACGCTCGAGCAAAATCGTAGACTCAGGGCGAATGCCAAGGCTTGATTCGCTTCATGTCAATCCGGGAGTTCGTCAGGGGAGATCGTGAGGGATCTTCAAAACCTCCCCCGCTACATCAGAGCGTATTTAAGAGAGGCCCAACACCTCACCCTTGAGCACGATATGAACTCGGTGACTTCTCACTTGCCCCCGCCCCCCGTAAATTGACGATCCTTATCCCATACAACCCTCGCCGCCTTCCCTAAATAGCATCCATTTGGTCTCATCTCAATTCGACGACACACATACCTGTCACCATGCGCTCAATACTTCTACTTGCGGCTGGTGCCGGCGCCGCCCTCGGAGGTAAGCAGGCTCCTTAACCGGTGGAAATTTGACGCAGAACGACGACTAACTCGCCGACAGGACCCCTCGCCTCCCGCCAAGCAGGTGCGTGTTTCGTCATCGGTAGCGAAACCCTCCCCGAGTCCGTCATTTCCACCGTCTCCAGCATCCAGAACTCCATCACCTGCGACACCTCAGTACAAACCCTCTCCGGGGTCCCAGACGTCACCTCCGGATCTGTGTCCTTCTCCTCCGTCAACTTTGCCGACTCGGACCTCTCGCCGTTACAGTTCGCCCTCACCACGTTTGCGAGCAGCGATCCACTAGCCGACACTGACCTCCAGACCTTCGAGGACACGTTGAACGTGTACCTTGCTACCGAGGCGGGGATCCGGTCGGTGGGTGGCGGGCTAGCTATCAAGGTGCCAAAGTTCTTCCTCGAGTTTCAGGTCTCCAGAATTAGGATCGCGCAGGGGAATGCGCCGACGGAGGCGGGGCTGCAGGTTGACCACTTGCTGGGAAAGGTGCTGAAGAATGGTGCCGGAGAGGACCAGGCGCTTCTGGATCAGGTGACGGCGTTAGCAGCGCAGCTATCTTGAGAGAGGGTCTGTGGGAGAGTGAGCGGAATAGCACCGAGTGGTAGTGAGCGGCTATGAACAGGACAGAGACATGTACGACATTGTGTTAGAGCATAGCATTCGAGTTTGATGAGTGCAATTTGCATACTAGCGAGCAAAGTGATCAGAGATACAGACCCCGTGGCATAGGAGGCTTATGTGACTGCGAGGCCCTTTTTTCCGAGAATGGTACAGCATGATGCTACAGCGTGGATTTATGGCGGAAGCATATACTGGCTTTGGGGACAATGCCGAAGGGTTGCTGGTATCCAGTCGAGATGGTTCGTTTTCCTCCACGCTTTGAACAGAGTGGCTAGTAGACATGTCGCCTCATGGACATGCCCTTGCCAGTGTTTTCTATCCGGAGCTTGAAGCTTCAGTATACCTGAGGGCTTGTACCATTCCCTGTGTAGGGTCCACTGTGTTTGTCCGTTTGTGAGCATCCGCTCGTTGTTGGGATGGAGAGCAAGGGTCATTTCTGGGGTGCTGGATATTGATGAAGACATAGTAGGTGGGTGTATGTCAGGAAGAATACCATACCAAAGGGTGTGCCTCTCATCCTCGCTAGCGTGGTAGTCATTTCACCCTCCTTGTGAGATTTCGTTTACATCTAGATCCCACAAACCTTTGGTCGAACCTCTCGCCGTGCCCCAGGATGTGCCAACATAAGGAGTAATATGTACAGGGATGAAAGTCCAAGTCTCAAGTTACTCTAACAACTTGTCTATCAGAGTCGGCTTAGCACATCCGCAGGACCACGTTTAGGTAGATTATACTTACATCTTGATTTCGGTGGATATCTTATGTAGGTTTTAACTGCTTCCTGGTTCACTTGGCGATCGTGAGTCTTCAAGGCGAGATTAGCATTACTGGGGCAGGCTAGCCAATGCATAGGGTCGCCCCTTTCTAGTAGTTCCGTTGCGGCCACTATGTGACTTGTCCCGTTCATATTTAGGATCCCTGGAAGTTGTAGAGATCGTCCCGGACGCCGTTTTCATGTTCCATCTCAGATTGAGTGACATTATTTGTAAACGTCGAATCTGGAAGAGCTTGTCATATAGCAGGCAGACTGGCGACTCGTGTGCTCGCGGCCGCCGGTTGAACCGTGGGCATCGTAGGGGGAGAGTACCACTTCAGATCGATGCTCATTCGACTTTATTCACGGCTGCCCTTATCCCTCTCTCGTGGAACTGGTGTCGTCTCGTCTTCACCTCCATCTCACTCACTTTATGGCACCTTATTAAAATCCCACTACTACTATAGGAACGACCTCCCAGCCAAAGGACCGATTGTTGGTGAGTACAACTGCTGTTTGTAAATATGTCTATGCGTGGTATCTACAATATGACTTCCTCTTTCTTCCAAACGCCGACACCCAGATGATGCCACTCCGGACGCGAAAAACTGATCACACTACTACTTCTTACGAGCCACAATAAAAGACGACAGGTCCTTGCCCTTGGACCCATGCTTCTCTGTCTCGAAAATATCAAATCCAGCAGCGCGAATCTGATCACTCAGCGCAATCTCCGGGAGAATAGACAGGCGTTGGGATTTGTTGACTAGCTGTATAACGGGACGAACGATTCGCAGGAGAATGTTCTTCTCTTTCGGGTAGGGAGTCTTGATGATGAGCAGGCCCCCATTCCCAAGCAGCAAATGAATTTCTCGCAGAGTGCCGGGGATGTCGGGAACCTGATGAAGATAGTTAAACCCTAGGATGGCGGTGAATCGCGCCGGTTCGCCTGCTAGAACCTCGACCGTCGCCGTCCGGAAGGACAAGGAGGATGGCGCATCCGCTGCCTCGATCTTATCAGTAGCAGCCTTGATCACCTCGGGGGAGGTGTCGGTGCCTAGGTAGCTCTGCACTCCGGGAGCGAGTCGGAGGGCCGAGGTCCCTGTTCCGCAGCCTAGCTCTAGGACATTGTCGGTTGGCTTTAGGAAGGTGGCGGTTCGGTCGATAGTGTGCTGGTAACTAGCCTCATCAGATATAGAGCTCTTGGAATTAGGCTTGAGCTTTTTGCTCCAGAAGCGGGCGCCGCTGCCGAAACCCATGGTGAGCTTGTAGTAGGTCGGAAGGAGTAACGCTGGAGGGATGTGGTTGGTGTAATGCGGTCGGTGTATGTGGTAGCTAAGTGCAATGCTAGGAAGAACCGGGAGGGGGATAGAGGTCGTGCAGGTGAGTAGTATACATATATACGCACTACACACAGGAACACAGGCACATATTTATTCATATTCGTTTTGTGTGGTGAGAACGACAACATGCGCGTGAGGATGTCGAAGTGGGTGTGCGGGAGTGGGCGTGTGAGAGTGGGCGTGTGCCGTGTGACCACGCTCTCATTCAAGGGTATCATGAGACCCTCGGCACTGTGGCCGAACCGATCATGGAACACACATACATTCCGCACCTAGAACTATGTCATTTAAAGGCAGCCAATATTTAAGATGAGGGTGCTCCAATATGGTCATGTTATACTGAGGACTGATGAGCCATGCAGCTACTTCGGTGCACAGCGCTGGTCCTATGACACTCCCACCCAATGCCGGCTGTTTTAAGTACCCGCCTCACCCTCGATAGTCTGCTCCTCAGCACCCGATTGCCCCGTCACCTGCGGTATGGGATGGAATTTCAGAAAATCAAGCATCGTGACGTGATGAACCGATAGTCGTCGTTAGTGCCAACCCAGTCTCCATATCCCGACATGACACTCCCGGGGCTTGAAGAACCGAGGAAGAGTACAAAGTGTTTTTTTCTGGCAACACGGAAACTAGACCTTCATTTTGCGGAAGGAGCCTTAGACTTCGATACATATATCCAACCAGCCTACGGCCGGCGGATGCGTCTTGAGTCCGAGGCACAGGTGTACCTCCCTGAGCTGGTCAGGTATGGCGTCGAGGTTATTCCTGGTCTCCCATGAGATCCACCTGTCATCAGCAGGCGCCCCGAGCCCAGCCTTCCTTTTCAATAGGCTCACTCCACCTCAATAACATTCCCCATATCGTCCATTTGCACCGTGGTCTCCTTCCTTGGATTCTTCGATCGAAGATTCCCGACAACTGCTCGAGCATCTTCCCCGCCGCCTCCGGGAAGAAGAAATATATCAGTATACTCTCGACTACGATCCAGATGATATAGACGAGATACAGCCTCCGCCCAATCTCGATCACCACGGATATCCCGAATATATTCACGATCATGGCGATATTCACGAGGAGTCGCTTCAGCGATGTCCCCTTGCCCGTGCTCGGTTTTCCAGGGACTTAGCCACGTACAGGGTCTGGCAGGGCGTCATATCCGAAGAGAAGTAGATCCCGTAGAGGTAAAGCGAGACGATAACGCCGTAGGCTAGGTTCTTATTGCCTGTGCACTCGGCTGTGAATGCATTCAGGGAGGTGAAGAAGAAGCAGGGCCGCTCAGGGAGCCCATAATCGTGGGGAAGCGATCGACCCTGTCGAGGAAGGTGGCGCCTACGACGGCTGCAATGAAGCAGACTAGAGGGTTTCCTGCGTTTATCAGGGGTTGTGTATTTGTGTCCTTGATGTCGGTGTTGTTCATCATTTGCGCCTGACAGAACGGGCGAAACAGGCAGATTATCTTGGTAAGACAGGAGGTCCCTAGAAAAATAGGCCCATGAGAGTCTGCGAGGATGGCGAGGCCTCTTCTGACGGTTCTTGGATATCAACAAGCAGGGAGACTCGGGGAAGAAGAGGACGGACTGTGGGGATGCGCCACGACCAGGCGTTGTCAAGTCAGGAGGGCCAGTATTGGTTGTTTGCTGAGTTGGAAATGGATATGAGGGTAGGGGGAGGGAGGAGCGCGTACGGCTTGGTTTCGAAGGTGCACCAGCCGGTTAGGGTGTTACCGATCCACCTGTTCTGATGTTAGTTCATCCTACTCACTCAGTCAGGATTCAGGCCCAGGTCATACCAGAAGTCGCTATACCTATATGGCTGGTTAGCACTATTCCGCGATGTGAAGAACAAGTGCTATCTAGGGTTTGGTGAACGAGCGGGCGTTCATATCCCCGCCATAAGACCTCTATACGCCGGATAAGCATCTCTACCGCATAAGCGGGCCTAACTAAGATGACTGTAGATATAATAATGGCAATGCAATGCTGATTAGCACACATACTCAGGTGGTCTTTAAGGCATAAGAATGAGATTAAGTTCAATGACAAAGCAACAGTTGGCACGTCTCTCTAGAGGTCCTTTTTCTACCACCCGAATAACGGTGTTCTATGCTCGGCCCATTCATGGACTACGCATCCCATGCCCATCTCACTCACCTGTGCCACCTACACGTAGGCAGTACATTCCAGAGGTATCAGAGCCTCATCATGCCAATGTTAGGCCGTTTGGAATGCAGCACAATGAGCCTCGAGCTAAATTCCCTGGACGGTTGGAGTCGAGGCTCAAGGTGCGAGATAGCAATATCAAAGTATTTGGGCACGTCATGCCGTAATCATTGTACCCTCAGGTAGCATGCCAGAGTGGTTAATGGGTGGGACTTGAATACATCAACCATATCCCATGGCTTCGGCCGCGTAGGTTCGAACCCTACTGCTATCGTTTAATTTTTTACCAAAATCCTTTAACTTTGTTGATAGCCTTGGCACTTGTCCTATTATTTTCTTTAACTGCTGTTCAATTTTCCAATGGAGAAAGGTGAGTGCCATGGCCCGAGTAATCACGATAGCCCGAAAGACACTAGGGTATTAGGCGGTTTCTTACTAATACATGAAGTTGACCATGTTCCTAGTCTTAGTGTTGACTTAGGGGAAAGCTGAGAGCGTGGGTATGTCAAGGTGGGATGGGATGGTTGTAGTCCTCTCCAGCGGGAGCGTCTCGAGACTACCGAGGTATGTCTCTGGCTGGATGTCAGGGTGACAGCCAATGTCAAGAGCACACTGATGCTCAAGATCAAAGTCATCCAGAGTATTATGGCCGGATATGGTTGATGTCATCCTCACCTGGCCACTTGTACCTTTTGGATCTCAGCCATAGTGATATGAGCTGGGGCTTCCAGTTTCTCGTCTCTCTCCACCGTTAAAAATGGAACGTTGGGAATAGAGGCAATTCGTCTTCTGGAGTATGAGGTATGAGGTTTGGCTACTTGAAAGAGGAGAGAGGCTGGGTATTTATCGAAACATCACCTGGCATAACTTAGAACGGACTGGTCAGTTTCAATGGTGAAAGGGGTGAATTTATAAGGACGAAGCTTGTGTCTAAGACTTTTGTGTGGTGACAAGAAGGAAGACAGGCAGTGTAGTGTTAGGATTCAGACACCTTGATCAACAGAAGGCCGTTCATGGTCGGTTGTGGTAATGAAGGAGAGGCCCTGCAGGCAAGCAAGCTTCAAATCAGGACACACCTTCCGGGATACTTCATTCCGGTAGTCGTAAGTGCCGCATTTGGACTTCAAAGGGGAGTGTAGTGAATATTTCTAGTAACTGCATGGGTTCTTATTCTTCGGGTCGTGACTAAAAATATAGAGTTTGCTTTAGGTCGGCACCTATTAGAATTGTTCATGCTTGTTATCAACTCGACCCTTGTCGATCGAGTGATTCGCGAATAGGAAAGAAAGGCGGGTAGGAGGTTCGGAAAGGTAGGGCTGTCCGTCCATCCCAAGAAACGGCAGCACCCGCTCGGGGAATTATTCGGGGATGTAATAAGTGAACTGGACCAATAGCGCCCCTTAAGGAGGTGTTACGAGTCCAAGCACAAGTACAGGTACAGATTGTTGTTTAGCGTGCAAGTGACCCGATAAGGGTGGTTCCAATCTGCTGGGATGCGGGGGTCTCGGTCTAGTTCGTCTTGTTCTTGGAAGCGGATGAGCGTGAAATGTTACGTTGCTGTTCCACCCTCCGGCTCCGGTATCCCCGGCCTAGGAGGGCCGCCCGCCCACCCCTGATTGAAGTGCAGTGGGCGGTATGGCCACTAGTTCGGGCTGGAATTACCACGAGGATGGCTGAGCATGTCTCCGCCATAATAATAAGTGGGTCATCGAGGCTGGTTAGTCCACACCGAGTATCCGTATTTACATGCAGCACGCCGAACTTGTATGTATTATTATCCGCAGCCGACCCGGGCCACCAGAGATTCTGAACTCATGAAGTGGAAGGGTGAGGAGATGGATGTTGATCAGACCCATCAATCCCGCGGGAGTGGACCAATACCTTCCCATCAGCAGTGGGTGTCGGTCGTGGAATGAGAATTCGATACGCTTTAATATTTGTGTATTTTCCTCTGTCAACACCGAGCACTACTTGTACTGGTACCTGGAATGAGTACTCGTACGAGACAGGCTATCAATGCAATACTATGACTACAAGTACAGTGGTTTCCCCGCCTGTCTCCGCCTATGGGTGGGGTCATCTCCGCACAGTCAGTGGGGCGAGACCCTCCATGCCCCTCTTCATTCGGGGAGTGAGGGGCATTTCCCTGTAACGTGATAACTATAGCTCCAGGGGTTTTTTGACCCGATCCCCGAACCTCCATACATAAGACCCCCGGAGCGGACAGCTAGCTCCATGGAGAAAAAAAAATATATTGATTGCCCTCCATCTCGCTTTGTGCACTCTTGCTCGTACTCGTACTTAGACCTGCGACAACCCGATACCCGGTGCTTCCTCAATACGACGTACGACGCGCGACCTACAACACACCTTACTTGTCTCCGGGGACCTTGCTCCCCCCCTTTACCTCCATAATGTCGTGCCCCGAAACCAAACCCGACTGGAACAACCCCCTCGTCATCCACCGAAACACCCTCCCGACCCGAGCCCACTTCTTCTCCTACACCGACGAGGACAAGGCCCTGGCCCGCGACCGCGAGCAGAGCGAGTACCACTCCCTCAACGGCGTCTGGCAGTTCCGCCACGATGCATCCCCCCTCGAGGCCCCCACCTGGGAGAGCCAGGACCCCCTGACCTGGGATAGCGTCAAGGTCCCCGGCATGTGGCAGCTCCAGGGTTACGGCCGCCCGCTGTATACCAACGTCAACTACCCCTTCCCCGTCGACCCTCCCCACGTCCCCGTCATAAACCAGACTGGCTCATACTGGCGGAGGTTCACTGTGCCTGAGGAGTGGAAGGCTCACGGCCACCAGATCCGGCTCCGCTTCGAGGGCGTGGACAGTGCGTTCCATGTCTGGATTAATGGCGAGGAGGTCGGGTACAGCCAGGGGAGCCGGAACGCTCACGAGTTTGATATCACGACTTTCCTGAAAGGGTCGGGAGAGGTAGACACTGTCGCGGTTCGAGTCTACGAGTTCTGCGATGGGTCGTATATTGAGAGGCAGGATCAGTGGTTGCTGTCCGGCATCTTCAGGGATGTGTACCTCATTTCCCTTCCACTGAGCGCCATCACCGACTTCAGCACCGTTCCCGAGATCGACGACTCCTTCACCAAGGCCACGCTCCGGACTAGCGTGAAGATCCAGGGCGATGCGCAGGGCCCGGTGGCCCTCAAGCTCCGCGGACCTGACGGCGCCGTCATCAAGGAGGACAGCTTCCAGCCCTCCGAGTCGAGCGCTATCGCCGTGGAGGGGGACCAGCTGAAGCTGTGGTCTGCCGAGGACCCTGTTCTCTACACTCTGACGCTATCCTACAACGGCCGCGTCATCTGCCACCGGATAGGCTTCCGGCGCATCGAGCTAAAGGACGCCAAAATGCTGGTCAACGGGAAGCCCATCATCTTCTACGGTGTCAACAGGCACGAGCACCACCCCGAGCACGGCCGCGCTGTCCCCTACGAATACATGCGCGCCGATCTTCTGCTCATGAAGAGCCACAACATCAACGCCCTCCGCTGCTCTCACCAGCCCAACGATCCCCGCCTTTACGAGGTTGCCGACGAGCTGGGTCTGTACGTCATCGCAGAGGCTGACCTGGAGAGCCACGGTTTCACCACGGTAGAGAACCCGAACATACAAAACCGGGAGAGCCTGGATGACGAGCAGATCATCAGGGCGGCCTATGATCTGGCAGCGAAGTGGGTTGCTGATAACCCTGACTGGAGGGAGCAGCACCTCGACCGCGCCGAGCAGCTCGTCGAAAGGTTCAAGAATTACACGTCAGTGGTGATCTGGTCCCTGGGGAACGAGGCCGCATACGGGAGGAATCACGTGGATATGTCCAACTGGATCAAGAAGACGGACCCGAGCCGGCTGATTCACTACGAGGGCGATTTCCACGCCAAGACGGCGGATATGTACAGCGCCATGTACTACCCCGTCGACGTGCTGAAGAAGCACTCTGCTGACAGGCCTGACAAGCCCATGATCCTGTGCGAGTATGGACACGCCATGGGAAATGGGCCTGGCGGGCTGAAGGACTACATCGAGGCGTACCGGAGTGAGGAGAGGCTGCAGGGTGGGTTCATCTGGGAGTGGTCCAACCACGGTCTGCTGAAGAAGGAGGGGACGAGGTCGTTCTATGCGTACGGTGGTGACTTTGGGGATTACCCCAATGATGGGGACTTCGTGATGGATGGGCTCTTGTTCTCGGACCATACGCCTACACCAGGCTTGGTGGAGTATAAGAAGGCTATCGAGCCAGTGACGGTCAGGGCCGTGGATGGGAAGTTGGAGGTGACGAACCACTACGACTTCGTTGGCCTTGAACATCTTGAGGCATCTTGGCACTTGACGAGTGAGAAGGGGAATGGGGAGGCCACGGGCCTTGAGTTGCCTGTGGTGAAGGCGGGCGAGAGCCAGCTTATGGACTCCCCCGTGCCACTGACCCAGGGTTCCGAGGCCGCTTGGCTCACCATCAACTTCTGCCTCAAGAATGACACCGCGTGGGCGAAGAAGGGCCATGAGATCGCCTGGGCCCAGATCCCGCTGTTCAACCCTGAGGTCGTCGCCGTCCCGGCTGCGCCCAAGCCCTCTGGGGCCCTGACCGTCCGACAGGCTCCCGGCCGCCTCGTCATCGAGGACGCGTCCGCCAACTCGACCCTGACCTTCGACTGTGTGAGGGGTGGCCTGCAGTGGGTCGCCGCCGGCTCCAAGGTCCTCACCCGCGGCCCGGAGCTGGGCATCTACCGCGCTCAGACGCAGAACGACTCCGGCTTCGGCGGGGACGGCAAGGCGTGGGATAAGCTGTACCTCAACGCTGCTAGCATGCACGTCCGTGGTGTCAAGTGGGAGGTCAACGGAGACGCTGTGACGGTCACGGCCGAGGTGCGTGTCGCGCCGCCGGTGCTAGAGTGGGCGTGTAACGCGGTAATGACGTATACCGTCACGGCCGCCGAGGTGCGGGTGCACGTCAAGGGTGACTTCTCGGGGAGGCACCCGGAGTACGTCCCCCGCCTGGGCCTAACCATGGGGATGCCCAAGGCGTATAACCGGGCTGCGTGGTTCGGACCTGGTCCTGGGGAGTCGTACCGGGACTCGAAGCAGGCGGCGAGGTTCGGCGTGTGGGCTGCGGATGTGGAGGAGCTCGAGACCAAGTACGAGTTCCCCCAGGAGAACGGAAACCGGACGGATGTGAGGTGGGCGAGGTTTGAGTCGAAGGAGGACGACGTGAAGCTGGAGGCTAGGATGGAGACGCCCTTCAACTTCTCGCTGA